GATTATTACGCCGGAATGAGAAGTAATACAGAACTACAGAAGAGTCAAGTTTTAAATAGGAAACTCTTTGGTCATTTTTGAGCAAGATGCTAACGGTCTAATCAGATTCAATGATCTATGATAAGCTGCAGCTAAAATTGCTACCGCCAGACCCGGAGATCGGCTAAATGGATTAGAAAACGGTAAAACTCAACTGTTTAACTCTAGGGGAGCTGGAAAATGAGCCTATTTTCAAAAATAGCGGAGTGTTCCTTTAAATCGCATACGGCCTTCTGTGCCAGAGAGACACTCTACCTCTGACCAGCTTCTCTCAACATACTTCAGTCAATTTGATTTTCCTTCTTTATATTCTTTTCAACTTATTCAGACCTCTTAATATAAAAAAAATATTATTATTATATAACTAATTAATTATTTTGAAATCTAGTTATATTTTTAAAGTTAATTAAAAAATAAAATGTGTTGTGTTTTTATATAGGTTTCTGTGGTGCATATGCTCTACAGGTTTACATGAATCAAAAGAAATTTCACTGACAGACAATTACCACACAAATTACTCTACTTGTGAATCATTAACATGAGTACCACATTGTCTGAAAAAAAAAAACCAACTCATAGCTACATGATCATTTCGTGGTTCAGGGTGAATGCCTGCCCATTCTAATGTCTGATGTCTGCTGAGAACCCGTGGCGCTGTTTAAAAATGAAGGTGCCTGACACCAAACCTGTACAATGTGGGGCAAATGATCCTGGACGGATGGGTTAAAATAACAAATAAACAGTGTGCATAATTCTAATATTTTCATTCATCCATTCTTCACTGTAGGGTTGTCGGGAATATCCCAACATATTTATATTTGTAATATAGTATGTAAATTACAAAACCCAGACCAATACATATTATATTTTTATTTACTGTGTGTGTGTGTGAACGTTTAAAGTTACAAAAAGGTCTTTTAAGTACAACTACAACTACCCGCAACTGAAACCTAGTGACATGGGACTGATGATTACATCAAGATATTTTTTTTCCACATTCAAATAACAGATTCTAGAGAGAGATGAGGACATATGTCAAAATCGTAAGTTGTGAAAACAGCTGTGACAGCAATAAAACATTTAACACCAGCAAAAAGTGCACCATGATGAGACATTTACACTTTGCTCTAACAGCATGCTCATGTTACTTCAAAACAATGACTTGAGTATGATGCAATAAAAATAATGTGTTTGAGTCAGAGCTGCTGTCTGGGAGGCTTACCTCAACTCCTCTATAACTGTAATTTCCAAAATTATTAACACCAAAATAGCTACTTAAAACCTAGGCAGCTTTTAGTTTTAGAACCAATGAAAAGTTCACTTCATATGCCATGGCAGAGATACAGTTGTCAAAACAAGAATAGCAATGCAATGCAACAAGAAGTATTATAAATAGGAAATAACAGAACAGGTTGGAGATGTTGTATGTACTGTTGCAACATATGTTTAAGTGTAATGATTTATTTATGACAACACTATACATTTGATGTTTATCCAAAGCAACTTGCATTCCATTGAAGGTAAACAAGTTTGTGCATTTACTGTGGGAACTATAGTGAGACACTCAAGAAAAAAAAACAACAACAACACTGACAACTGAATATTGCTCTTTGATAATTATAATTAACAAATAATGCTGGATCAATACCAGCCTTTGCAGTGGCTTTTTGTTTCTTGAAGGCCACTGAGGAGGTGAACGTCCTCCGGTAGGAAGCTGTCATGATAAAGTGAAGTTAGCTCATTTGAGGACTTGAAGTGAAGAAAAGATACCCAGGGGGAGACCTTTTCTCTTTATTTGTGGCTCTCAGGGTGAAAAATATAGAAACTCTTTGGTCATTTTTGAGCAAGATGCTAACGGTCTAATCAGATTCAATGATCTATGATAAGCTGCAGCTAAAATTGCTACCGCCAGACCCGGAGATCGGCTGAATGGATTCGAAAACGGTAAAACACAACTGTTTAACTCTAGGGGAGTTGGAAAATGAGCCTATTTTCAAAAATAGTGGAGTGTTCCTTTAAACCATGCATGCAGGAATATGATTAATCTATACATTAAGAAAGGCCAAGATTTACATCCATGCTCTGTTACTCAACAGCAGCCCATCACTGATGTCCCATCAGCACGATCAGGGTTCAGTCGCATTCCAATGTCTCGGGGAATGAAAACTGGAAAAGCCGTGCTTGGAGCTTTGGGAATCACCACAGGAGTTAAAATGGAAACAAATCCAGAGAACCAAGCCATGCACACTGACCTGAAAAAATCAGCTGTCATTAATGGAGCCCTACAGGGTGGAGGGAAGGGCTGAGAGCATTGAACAAATAATATACAAGTTTACATTTACTATGTCTTGTATATCTGATTGTCACTTTCTGCAATTGTTGTGTTGCAGAGATGCAAGGGAAAACACAGATTTTTCTTGGGAAAGAACTAGGGAAAGATTTGGGATTTGGCAACATTGCTTTTACAGTAGCACAAATGCTGCAGTAATGATGCCTTTTTGTAGGGCACACTGATTTAACTTCCTACAACTCTTTCTTTATGTAGAAAGCCTTTTTCCCTGAAAGTTTGAGTTGGAATAGTTTGCAAGAGCACAAATATAAACACAATTAGGCTGTGAAAGCGACTAGTGAGTTGATTAGAGTATAGAGTATTGAGGTGTGGTGACGTTTAATATCCGACAACCCAAAAACCCTCTTAAGTCCCATTTAGACACTTGTTAGCAACTCTTTTTCAAGACAAGTAAAAACGTGAGTTAAAAATGTGACAATATGTTGAATTAACCACAGAACTAAAACACAATCAGCCATTCAATGTTCAAAACTGAGTGTCCACGAGCAGATGGCAGCATGGAGGTCATGTAACAGATCTCTTAAGGGTTTATAGAATTATTTGGTTGCAACAGATGTATTTGAAGAATATTTATCCAGTAAAAAAAAACTGCATATCAGATTAAATAAAATGGTTTCTATCAATGAAAATTTTTATTTACAAAGAATGTCTGCTAAATTACAGTGGGTACGGAAAGTATTCAGACCCCCATCCCACCTGACAGAACTGGAGAGGATCTGCAAGGAGGAATGGCAGAGGATCGCCAAATCCAGGTGTGAAAAACTTGTTGGATCTTTCCCAAAAAGACTCATGGCTGTATTAGATCAAATGGGTGCTTCTACTAAATACTGAGCATTTTTCAGTTTTTCTTTTTTAATAAATTTGCAAAAATGTCAACAATTCTGTGTTTTTCTGTCAATATGGGGTGCTGTGTGTACATTAATGAGGAAAAAAAATTAACTTAAATGATTTTAGCAAATGGCTGCAATATAACAAAGAGTGAAAAATTTAAGGGGGTCTGAATACTTTCCGTACCCACTGTATGTATTTTAATAGTATTGTTCATGATGTTTAATGGTGTATCATTTTAGCATTTTGTGGAATGTACGTATCAGACCAAGCATTTTCTGACTGTTGTTGTGAAATGAAATGCATTGATAAGAGCCTCACCAATGAGTATGATCTCGAGTGCCCAGAAAAGCGCTATATAAATGTAAGGAATTATTATTATTATTATCTGTAATGGATTTGTATTACCTGTTTGTAACTAAAAATGTTTTGCTTTCAGATGAGTCAAAATGTCTTTCTTTTCACTTCTTACACACACACACATTACAATAAGAAAAAAATATTTATACTTATATTTTATAAATATATATATTTAATAACTTGAAAAACAGCTTTTAATGTGCACTTGCAGACATTTAAAACAGAAAATCTACAAACATAAACTTAATGAAGTGAATATACTGAAGTTGAGGTCCATAAATTGTAAGCAATCATATACACAAATCATGTAAACAAGTCCATGAAGCTTAAAATCAAATGTCTTCCAACTGTCACCATCATTCCCTTAAGCCTTATTGTGCCTAAGGCTGCAAAAGTGTATGACTTTAAAGAAATTCCAATTTACAAAAATATATTACTAAGTAGCAGCACAAAAGCAAGCAGAGGCTCCATTTAAAGTACTACAATAGTAAAATGGTATGGTATCAGATGGTAATGGTACTGAATTACACTTGATATTTGTGTGGATATTTCTTGATATAATATTACCATAAAAATTAGATAGATAGATAAAGATTTTATTGTGAAAAAGCTCTCATTATTATTGTAATGTGGAAAAAATGAATGCACTGTATGTAGTTAATGCTCAGTGCTGAGTAGATTTCTTACAAATTGTAGTCCATCACTGATTCCGAATTACATGACAAAAATTGAAGTTAGTAACATAATTCATTACATTACACGTTTTAGGTAATAGCCTATAATCAGACTACTTTTATAGATTACTTTTGACTTAACTTGTTTATCACATTGATTTAAAGATAATCTTGTACCATATTGATATAAAAACACAAAGAGAAAGAAAATATATTCCATTCTTTGTTATTAACAACATGAAGTGCATTAAAATCCCAGCCTTCCAAAGATATAGTAATACACGGTTAAAAGAAGCAACATCGAGAAAACACTTAAAACAGTAAACCCAGTAGTCAAATGCTGCGTGCTCTCTCAATTTTTGTGTAATTATACGGCAGTATAGGCTATTTTAGAAAGGAGAATTTAAAAGATGAAAAAGAAGAATTAGGGAGAATCAATAAATTGTGAATGATTTATGGCAACTGTGTGAATAACATGTAATCATGTAATCCATAAAAATGTAACTGTAGTCTGATTACGAGTAGGTTATTGTAAAATGTAATATAATGTAGGCCTAGTCACAAGCAGCTAGGCTATTTCTTAATTTTTGGACGTAATCCAGATTACATATAATCATTTATTACCCAGCACTCTTAATGCTGATTTAAAACATTGTATCTGGACAAGACGTTTGTTATTAGGCTACTGCATTTCCGTAATGAGTACGATTTTTTTTTTTGTACATCGCAGAAATGTCACGTCGGGGAGGGGTGTCATTGCTGACGTCACGACGTCGCTTTCAGTCCACTGGCTGCTGTACTTCCTTGTTTACCGTCTTGTCCACGACCAACAGAGCTACTGAAATAATCATTATTGCTGTTAATGGCGCGATAAGCACAAGCGATAGCAGCGATATAATAGTTGTCGTGTAGTGTGCTCGCTGTCCGCGCGGCTCGAGAGGATTAGGAGCGATGATGGCGTCCAGCTATAACGCGAAGGATGAGGATCATCATCCGGGATCGGTGGGCTCCGGCGGCCCCGGCGCTGTCAAGAGCAAGAAGCCCGATAACACGGCCTTTAAACAGCAGCGTTTGCCCGCCTGGCAGCCCATTCTGACGGCGGGAACCGTCCTGCCCGCCTTCTTCATGATCGGACTCATCTTCATCCCCATCGGCATCGGACTCCTCGTCACCTCTAACAACATCAAAGAGTTTGAGGTGCGTTCCGTCGCCATAGCAACATCTTATTACGTTATTAGGGCTCGAGGTCACCAGTGTTGGGGAGCGACTAGTTACATGTAACAGAATTACATAATTTAATTACAAAATAAATGTAACTGTAATCAGTTACAGTTACTGACAAAAAATGTGTAATTAAATTACAGTTATAAAAAAATGTTAACGATTACAAAGAGATTTTTTTTCACGCACATACAGATTTATTTGATTTCTCAGTTTCATAAATTGCAGTGACTGCCATTAAATATGAGACACCAGTGTTTCAGGACACATGCTTATTCGATAACTGTTTTATTTCCTATTTGGGTTTATGCATATGCTTTATTTTTTAAGATTAACCGTTTTGTTTTTTCCATGGCATTGTTAGATTCCAGTGTTCCCTTTCATAGCTATGCAAAGATTTGATTTCAAAAACAGTATCATAGCTATTAAACTATTTCTTGTTATGATTTTAAATCTGCATTTAACCTCAGAATGATCTCAAAGTAAGGTCTGATTTTGTGGTGGCTGTGTTTTAAAATTAAATGATTATAATCTTAATTCAAGTGATGAAGGATTTTGAAAGTCTGACA